AGGATATAAAGTGCAACTGTAAGTAGGAAGGGGGGAAGCAAGTGACCAAGAAATTAGAGAGAGTTGTAGGGGGAGATTGAGTGAATGAGATCAAGATAGAAAGATGTAGACGTATGAATTAGAGGAAGAGAAAGCAAGAGGGAAGGAGGGATTAAGAGAGAAACAGAAATAGAGAAAGAGGCAGAGACAGAGACGGGCAAAGAGAGAGAGAGAGATACACACACACATACACAAGCAGAGAGAGAGAGAGAGAGAGAGAGAGAGAGAGAGAATGAGAGAGAGGAAGGGGGGGCAGATAGAGGGAATATTGCATCAGATAGGTATTACAGGCAGAGAGAGAGAGGGAGAGAGAGAGAGAGAGAGAGAGAGAGAGAATGAGAGAGAGGGGGGGGGGGGCAGGTAGAGGGAATATTGCATCAGATAGGTATTACAGTAGTATAAAAGGGAGCGGACATGTATATTGCAGTCATGGCATATATCAAATGAAATGTCAGGCCGTCCACTTTCCTCTGTGGCAAATTGAACAAATAGACCCATGTTTTCTCTGCTATTCCGCAGTGTATTCCTAACAGAATTACATAATTCAGTATAGCTTGCATCAAGAAATGGGCTTGAGACCATAAAACTATAAATAAATCTTTTCAGTCTGAGGAAGAGAAAAGACTTTGGTTACATTTTTAATATCATGACGTCTGCGTTGCAATTTTTGTTTTCTGTTTGTTTCTCTGCCTTTCTATAATCTTTCCTGAGAGGCCCACCTGCTCTATGTGTATACTTCTTTTGCTATATCTTTTCACTTTTCATTTCTCTCTCATTATTTAAAAAATTTATGTTTCATATCTATAGATAATTGAATTGAAATAATTCCTATGTTACGATAACGACACATGCACATATATAGTGCATTTTCTATGTGTATGTTTGATTGTGCTGTGCAGTGTTAAGTAAGTTTTGAGTTTTAGTTATTCTTTATACTGTTATTCTGATTGAATTCTGTTGAGAGGCAGAATGCCATATTACTTCACATAATTTGTTTTAAAGATTTAATGCCCTTTTGGCTTTCAACAGACAAATATTATGATTATAGAATTATTATTTTTTTTAAAAACAGTATTGAGGAGTTATTAGGGTAGTCACATTATAGTTGCAAGTGCTGCATGGCAAATACAAATAAAATACTGAATTTAAGAGTTGATTTCAATGAAAGTGACATTTGATTGAATTCACTATTTAATATCAAATGCAGATCATTTGAGAGAAGAAAACAAAAATTAAAAACATTTACATTTTTTGAAATCCCCAAACAATGGTGAGAGACTGTCGTCTATCTTTTAATTATAGGCTTTTAAAACTATTATTTATTCTCTGTATTTCATCACTGTGCTATTTTACCTCCAAAAACCCATAATGTCATCAACTTTACACTAGTGATTGTATCACTGAAATCTTTATTAATTGAAAACGAAAGGACAGCTCTTGTAGATTAGAGCCAGAGGCATTATTAGTTCTATTGCACAATTTGACTTCATTTTCATGACCCAAGCATTCATGTTGAAGATATAATAGGCAATTTGTACATGCAGGAATATGTGAAATGCATTGTACATTAATGACAGTAAATTCTGATCAACGAATTAACCGGTTAAATAGGAGCAGCATTTGCCATGCCAAGCCCATATCTATGCAAATGAGCAGACACTTTATCGTCGCCCGTGTGCGTTGAGGCGTGACGGAAACAGGAGACTTTTTTTCTAAAGCTGTAGAAAGGAATGATTGATTGATGCGCAAGGAGTGGTGATAATCTTGCCGGTATAATCCATGAATTATTTGTGCACCAATGTATTGACATTTGTAGTGGAGGTATAAAACCCACGCCCGCTCTCCCTCTCTTTCTCTCTCTCTTTCTATCCCTCCGTCCCATTATCATGCGGCGACGATACGTTACAAAAGTTGCTCATTAGTAAGGTAAATGCGAGATGCATGGCGGAACAGCGCATCCATATTTATACTCATTCTGCTGACTACCCTTGATGTTACATGCCTGGCTTCACAGGAGAGTAGTTGAGTCCCGAGACAAAGTCACATCTAATTGGGACACACCATCTATGACCTAGCTCATCAAAATTCTTTATCAAAAAATATTCCAGTTCTGTAAGTTCAATACAAATTAGTTATTGACATGAAACATGTTATATATTTTCCATTTGTATCTCCTCGCATCCTCTCCTGACATTGGGCAACATCAAGCAAATTAGGGGATTAAAAAACTAATGATATATTTCTAGCACAACTGCAGGTATGCGGGTAAATGATTTATTTCTAGATATATGGATTTGGGTTTTGAAAGAAATGATGTATGGCTTTTCCATTTATCATTTATCTTGATCAAATATCAACAGTACATGTAAGTATCCTTCATGCATTGAGGTTTCTGTAGAATCATAGAATTTCAGCATTAAGGTATAGCTACTCATCAAGTTTCTTGCTGCGAAAAAGATTTTTTTTTTAAATTGTTAAATTTTTAATGAAAGCTTCAGATTTTACATTATCTGCTCAGTTGCATCCATCTTTTGCACAGGTTTATAGATCACTTTGCTAGATGTTACATATGAAAGCAAATTAAACGTGATTACACAAGCTTTTAAAAATCAACTCATAGGCAGTTTCAGTTCTCAACTGTATCTTTTATTAAAGATAAATAAATCATGTTTGGATTATGTTTATTATAGTAATGTTAGCACAATGATGCAACATGCTATTGACATTACCTAAGATGGAGAGTTCTAGAAAGTCATTGCAATTGTTTTTTTCTTCAGTAAACACGATCTGAAATGACCTGAGGAAAGCATTTAAAATGAGATGTGAAATAGCTGTTGTTGTTAACGTTGCTCAGACAAAAACATTGTTTTCGTCATGATAGAATGGGAAAGCTGCAAGGCAAATGTGTTTATTTAATCTGGATTGCACTTTAAAAACAAAATGATGATAACTTCCATTTATATATATATCTTTTGAGATACATGTAAATGGAATTAAAATCATGACTTTACAATCTGAAATGTATCATTTTAAGCTCTAAACAATGATTTCTTTTTAAAGAGGAAGTCTAAGTTAACTGCGGTTCAAATTATTCCAATTAATACAAAAAATATATGGTAAATTACTATTAAAATGAGAAAAGAAACCAAGCTAGTAGTCCTTAGGATTAGGACACATGTTCCAAAATGGATGTGGGTTTGATGTGCTTTTAGTGTACAATTTCCCACCTTAAAATGTTTTTGTTCTGAAGTTGATTAGTGTTTGGAGAATGATTTATAATTGGATTTTAGCTGCTTTGGGACTGCGTATTCAGAGACAGAACTCAGAATAACATGTAATTTTCTTTGCTTGTTACTGGCGAGAAATAAAACACCTTGCATACCTGTTCAAGGTTGTTTCATGGTCTGTCTGAAAACATTGATTGCTTACTTCATTGCTCCAAGTTTCTACATGATGTTTGATAGTACTTTTTAAGAGGTAGTATCTTTTTTTATTAACGCTTTTCTGTTTTTAAATGTAACCAGTCAAACAGAAACAGAAGTAATTGAAATTACTTCAAAAAAGTAAAAGCACTAAAAACTAAGGCATGAATATCTACAGTTATTCAATTTGCATCATTCCTATCATATACTTTTCAAATCTAAATGGATAGCATGATTGTATATGATGATGAAATGTTTAATCATCTCTGTTAAAAGTATAACCGGCCTTTTAGAATGTATATATATCAACTTATAAATGTGATCATTTACTTTTTTATTGATATATTGTAAATTTATTTGTCCTTTTCTAGGTCCTCCCACTGCGAATGAGAATTTTCATTATACCATGTGTGCACGTATGTTAATAAATAAGTTATTGTGGCCTTTTACCTGCAAATCAACTCAACCCTTTAAAAAATTTATATCTATGAATGTAATTTATGATGGCTTTGCCGGTTGGTTGAAAGGGAGGCATTTTGATGTACAAGGAAAATATCTAAAAAGTTATGCTTTGTAGATTATACATGTCAGGGGTTTACTCACCAAAATAAGTATGCATGGCCTACAGATTCTGAAGAAAATGTGATCTTTAAAAAAAAAATCTGCATTTTGCATTTTGTGATATCAATTAATTGTTATTTATTGTAAAAAATTAATGTAGGTATGAGTGGGTAGTATGGGTTTTTAAAATTCTGTTATAAAGGGTTTGAATGCAAGATGGCAAGCGCATGACCCTTGACCTATACCAATTGTTGCTCCATCCTCCAGCCCACCCTCCTCCAACCCACCCTCCTCCAAAACCTTGTTCTGTTAGTTTGGTTATATTACTCTATATCCAGGTTTTGCAAGAGCAACATATATTGTAAGCATGAATGATTTAATGAATGGTGGTGATGGTAATACAATTTGGGTATCTATATATCTCAAATTTGTCATGATTTTGCCAGGAAATTGCTGTGGAGTTAAGTAATATTTTGTGCGCTTCTTTTGCAAATTTATTTGTATGTGTTTGTATGGTGTAGGCAGCTCTTTTGATGCTCCAGTTTTAAAATCACCATGTCATTTTTGTTTCTGTACAGAAGGTTACATATTGTTTGCTGAGAGCAAGAAGAGCATTAATTGACAAACTATTACATGGAGTTAATGCACTTCTGACTCTCACCAGATAATGATATGGTTTTATTTATTCATCCATAAATTGTGAAGACTTATTCTTGAGAAAATTGTTAATGCATGTAGATTTGTTTTCCTTTTTGGTAAACTTCCTTTTAAAAAAATTAATCATATTTTACCTTCTAACTTTCAACTATATTATCTAATTGTGCTTCCTTCATCCTAAATCTACATTAAACATTTGTTGTTGGCAGAACAGTATCAAATGTCTGGTTAAGCTGATTTGGGTGTAAATTTAAAGTTATTAAGTGTCAAGTTATCAGAATATTGACCCTGAATCTGTTCTTTTCTTATTTCTACATCCAGGTGTTATGGGTGTGCAAGCTTTGCCGTAAGAAGCAGGAATACCTGACCAAGACAGGACAATGGTATCACGGTGGGACAAAAACGCCCCCTTCTACTCCAGGAGACAAACTCAAGAAATTGGCCATGTCAACAGAATCCCTCTCTGCAGTCTTATCATCGGCACCAAGCACTCCTGGGGCAGGAGGTCCTCCAAGCACTCCATCTTCATCGACTACGGCAAGAGCCGGAACAAGGACGACAACGACAAGCCCAGCAACAACGACAACGGTGACAACGACGAGCAAGACAGTATCACCAGCATCATCAACATCATCGAGTCTGAACCTTAGGGACAGAGAAAGACTGAGTGATAGCAAAGCGCCTTCCTTACGTGGACAACTGGGTAAAGATGGGACACCTCCTAGTGGAGGCCAGTCCAAGGGTTTGACGAGAGGTGGTAGCCAACATGCGCCTTTAACACGCCAGCTTTCAAAGGATGATGACTCTGGACCAGGCACTACTAGACCGGTGCATAGACCACACGGTAGAGACAGTCTGAGACATGTGGATGATAGGGATATACGAGGGAATAGAGGGGCAAGGCGTGAGCCTCTCTATGGCTCTAGTGGGGACTTGAACCACAGGGATCAAGATAGACATAGGGATAGGTACCCTCGCAGGGACCGACCAGGCGACCGTGACCGGTCGATTAGTGGTGATAGATATGGACCCAGGCAGGCTGGGGATCGTGCCAACTATGCAGGAAGGGGAAAGCTTCCAGGGCCCGAACAAGAGCCCGACAGTCGCAAGTACCCTGAACCAGATCAATACAGAGATCGTCGGGAACGTTACCCCGAGAATGACAGGTACCCTCCCAGATACCATGAAGGCGATAGGCCAGGAAGGGGCTTTCCTCCTGAAGAACGATTCTACTCTGATGATCCAGAGAGGGATAGGCATAATTACCACAAGGAGCCTGTGTCCAGGACAGCAAGTGGACGTTCCCTGGACCGACAAAGACGGATGTACGACGATCCTCCGCAGGATTTCCTGCCGGATGGATACCCTGACTCTTCTAGTGTTGTAGGTAAACGAGATTCACTCAATAGAATAGAAGGAATGGAACCCCCTTCAGGACCTAGTGAGATTGAGCCTCATATAGAGAGGAGACCTCGTGAGCGAGATAGGAGAGACCACATAACTCATACAGTGCCATCAAATGTTCGCGAGAAAGAGCGTATCCCAAGTGACTTTGGGCCACCACCTGTGCAATATGGAATGCAACGATCCTCTAACTACGGCAGCTCGGCCGGGAAGCGGGGAAACCACGGTCATAGACACGCAAACGCGGGGGAGGACATTCCCGACGCACTATCGCAGGATTTATATGGAGTACGGACTGATGTGACGCCGAAGCAACATCTAGACCCCAGTTCCGCGGCGGGGAAAGCGAGCGCAAAAGATTCGCGCAAGACGGACTCCATGATACGCAATGACTCTCTGAGTTCTGACCAAAGCGAGTGTGTACGCCCGCCGCCGCCTAAGCCGCACAAAGGAAAGGGGATGAGGAAGAGACGTGATTACTCATTGAGCAGTTCCGAGGAGGAAATAAGATCAACGCCAGACTATACCAGCTGTGACGAGGGAGAAATAGAAAGTGGCAGCATCAGTGAAAGAGGTGAGTACAATTATCATAGTCATGCACACCTCAATAAAAAAAAAATTACCGGTAGACATAAGACAGCCTCTGGAGCCAGGAGGGTTTAAACTCTTAACTTTAACAAAGAGTTTATCAATACCCTTCTGGCTCTCGCAGACAATATTGCCATCTTTTCTTCTACTCGAAACCAGTAATTGACATCAGTTCACACAAGAATAGATGAGTTTTATTCAAAACTTATATTTAGTAACCATTAAATAATTTCTACTAACTGATTATTTGAACAAAGTCATATACTGTTCTTTAAAATTATTTATATTAAAGATCCTTTTCTTCATGTTACCTCACATAGCAACATTCAAGTAAAGGTTGCACGATATTTTCATATTACTGCATGCAAAGTTCATATTTAAGTATAAAATATGTAATTGGAAAACATTTGTCTTTTATATTAGAAATTGCAAAATTATCTCTTTTTTCTTGCATACAATTGCATTGAGGAAATCAAATTAGTTTTTGACTGAATGACAGAAATAAAGACAGAAAGAGAGGGTAAGAAAAGGGAGAAGGGAAATGAGAAAAGGAAGGGAGACTTTTATTTAAATATCGACACAGATCAGGAGAGAGACAGATTGAGAGCAGGGAAAAAAGGGTAAAGGATGAAAGAAATGAGTGAAAGACAGACAAAAGTGATGAGGGAGGAAAGGAGACATCCAACATAAAAATGTAAAATGGAGAAGTTAATAAAGAAAACTAAGAGAAAGGGAGAAGGAAAAAAAAAAGAGAAAGAGTACATGCATAGAGGAGGAAAACTATATAAGGTCACCAAAATATATGTAATGAGTATCATGTAGAGTACATCTTCCAAGCCAATCGATTGTACCTGCGCTCTGACATTAATGGCCCCCTAACTAAATCATGTTAGATGCTGTATGTATACTATGTGCATGTAAGCATGCAGCGTCCGGGCCAGCGCAGTGACATGTTTTTACAATATTTGAGAGACTAGGCATCACTCCAAATTAGATTTATTCAGATGTAGAAAATTGCTTGGACCTCGCATGTTTACCGGAATAGGCAGGTAAATACAAAGCCCCAGCAAATACCAATGAGATCGACTCCCTCTCTCTCTCTCTCTCTTTCTCTCTCTCTCCTCTCTCCCTCTCTCTCGATCCTGTCCACTCTCTCTCTCCCATACTTCTTCATTTCATCAAGACCCAATTTATTGCAGAGTCTAAAATTAGCACAGGGCAAGGTAATGCTTCCTCTTTGTACATTGGATGCAGGCAGCATCGGACTGATTAGTTAGGAGGCCCTCGTGTGTCGAGATGGGGAGAGCGATGACAGGATGGTGGGGCGGGAAAGTCCTCAGGAATACGGGCGTCTGAAAGTGTGTTTAATGATTAATGTCGGGAATAAAAATGTTGAAAGCTAGGGAATCAAGTCACGTAAAAGGTCACTCTCGGAGGGCTCATAAAGGCTTATTCATTTGACCTGGGGCTGTATGATGGAAAGAACAAACAAGAAGTAGGTTACATTTGAGGGATATCAGAATATTCATCCAATTATGATAGCCTGATTAAGACGAATGACATTCAAAGAAGTTTCAGTCCAATGAAGCAGTTCAAATTAAAGTGAATAAACACTATTAGCTAAAAACAAAGGGGTAATATATAATAATTTTCTAAAATTGGAAAGGCATGTAGGAATAAAATAGAAACACATTACATCAAAGATTTTTTTCTTCAAGAATTCCCATATTTTTAAACACAATTTTCTTGCATGTACTGTATGTTTATACAATCTTAAATGGACTTGGTAATATTGTTCAGATGAGAGAAATGGTACTAAGGTAGTGACTTAAATGCTAGATGTACAATTCAAGAAAGTTTAAGTGATAACAAACCATTATTAATAACAAAAATCAGGGAAAACTGATCTGATCATTCCTTAATTCTCCCAACTATATTATTACAATTTAATTACATTGTATGTGAATGTAAATCATAATAGAACAATGGATTGGCTCTATGGGACTGGTCAGAAGAGATTGATTTATCTAAATGGGAAAAAACAGTGCTGCGTGACCAGGCACATAACTATGACCGAGTTGTGTGTTGCCCTTCTAAAGCTTCTGGAGCTTTTAAAGCTAAGAAAACCAATCACAAATTTTGACCAGAACCAAGAAAAGCACATTTTCAACAAATCTGTAACCTTGAGCAGCAAATAGGTCACACCTGTATATTAGCTGTATCTGGCTCTTTCTTTCATTATTAACAAACCATAGATTTTATAAAGGTCAATGAAAATTGTTGATTGCAAACAGTAAATGGCGGTTTGAAAAAAATATAGATGTGGAATAAAATATGGTAATAAAAGTTAAGCATTGTAATGCAGGTTATCAGAGAAATCTTAGTCATGAACTTTTCACCCTCTACATCAATTAGATCAGGTGACAGGACAAAAAAAAAGAGGAAAGGAAATTTGAGGAGGGGATCTTGCTGGCCGGATCTGCAGTCTCGTTTCGCCCGTCCCTAGGGATTCTAACACTGACTATTTTCAAACCTCATTAAAAAAGAATCGCTCTCGTGCAGTAGCCGGCAGTCTTCAGCCATATATACCAACTTATCAGCCAGTAATGAATGATTAATGGGTTTTTATCACTTAAAAAGGGCAACAGAATTAATTTGGTATTGATGAATGTGTGTTGAGATCCGTTACAAACTACAAATTTATAAAATACCTCTGGTTTGAAGCTACAGAGGAATCATGTTTAAATTGAAATCTTCTTTTAAAAATGAGGACAGATGAAGCTATCAATTGCATTATTGTGCCATAATGAATTAAAAATTTGCCCCATTGTATATTAATGGTATTGAATTTCAATTTTTCTTTCTTAGCCATGGATAAGCATTGTATCTTAATTATCTTTTGCAAGGTTCTGTCAAAAATTGTCATCGTTCTGCATGAAACAGTTTCCACTGTAATCATAAAGCTTTTCTTTTACAACCTTTTAGACTACCTAGAACATTCCAGGCACACGTCTAATTTTAGAAGGCTTCTTTTGATTCTCAAACCAGAAGACAGTTCTGTCTATCTTTTTAGAAAAAAAACCCTCTTCTATCTTACATTGCAAGCAATAGCCCGAGGTTCTTCCATATCTACCCAAGATCGTTATGCAGGCGTGACGGCAATAAAACCAACCCTGTCATGCGTACCCTGCTCTAACCCAAGATGGATCTAAAAAACCATCAACTATAGCCAAGTTTGGTCAAGGGTGAGGGCCATATGTGAGGCAATGCCCATATGTACTTTCTAATATTCCTATGCCAGGAGACAGAAGGGCGTGTCATATAACGCCCTTCTTGCATTCAGCAGGTGGTGGAAGGAATCTAAGACTGTGATGATTAATGGAGGAGGGGCAGTTATGAAAGAGGGGGGGGGGGGGGGAGCTGTAGAGTTATGTTCATGAACTTGTTAAGAAACTCCAGGGGATTCTCAGTGATTAGATGATTATGTGTATGAGTGCTGAGTAGTATGTGTGTAAGAGCAGAAAATGACCGTACTAGTATATGCACTGGGAGAAATGACCAGCATTAGTTTACAACAGAATAGCTTCCACTTATTAGCTCATAAAACACAAGCTACTACAATTACTGTACCTTTACTTCAATCAAATAAACTTATTATTTCCATCATAAAAGACAAATGTTTTCCAGTATTAAACATAAAATGCGTGTGTGCTTTGAGTTTTAAGTTGAAATTGGACATGACTTTATGAAACCTAAATTGTATTCATTATAATCATGAGCTTTATATACTATATGTATTTTTGTGTATGTCTGTCGGGATGAATCTTTGATATAAATCATACAAATTTTTATATATTAAAGATAATACATGCCTTTTATCAAGCATGTTATCAAATATGATTTAATCTCTTTTCCACTTACTTTCACTCATAGAAAATGATTACACTTGTTTATGATGTTTACATACTACTATTTGAGAAATAGTTAACTCTATGTTACTTACTTTTTTCCTATATCATTAAGAATAAATGATTGACATTTATTCTGACATCAATATATAGTTTGTTACTATAAACAGAATGCAAATTTATATGAAAACGTAGTTCTTGCGTGTAGTTGCAGATTGATAAGAAAATCCAAAAATAATGCTTAAATCATTCAAGCATTGACATTATTTGATTTATACAAATATGGTGAAGAACTTTTCTTTTCAGATTGTACTAGAAGAATTTTGTCATCATGAAAGTATTGTTGCGTCAACTGTGAAATATACCTTTCTAAGTGCATTTTCCCTGTAAAAATGATATTATCGTCAATTTGCATTTGCCTTTAAACCATATAATATTTTCTTTTAATTCAAATTCTTGTGTAATCTATTTTTCTCATAAGCTAGTGAAAACTGATACTTTTTATTCGATGGAAATATATAATCCAGTTCAATGTCTTAAAAATGAACAGTGTTTAATTTTCCATGAAATGCATTTTATAGAAATTATGAACTGTATATAATCCTTTCATTATGATACACACTCCAAACCTTAAAGACAAACATCAGATATAGATATCCAAATATATTTCTAACCATATTTTAATATACTTTGTTGCGTATTTGAGCAAACTTATATTCATTATTTTGTCATTAAGAGCAATGCACAATTGACACATTTCTTGCTCCCTGGTGACATATACTATCCAAAAATTTTAACAATCAATTTCAACTTTCATAAAGTGCAATTCCAAATATTTGAGTGCATTGTAATATGATTTCCGCTATCACTTTCTTCTTTAAAGTCTTCTCTACCATGACTTAATATCAGTCTGATCCTATTTGTTGTCTTATTGGTAGAATCTTGGTTTATATATACATGAATATATGTATTAATAATGATGTGGGGTACTGAACTTTGTTTGGCAGCCTGATATTAATTACACATATTAAAAGCCATTGTCATCTTTCAATCATTCTCCCCATGGCCTTTGGTTTGGTTGCGGCTGGATATAACCTTTAACCCCTAAACCAGGTGAGCTAGACTACTGGGATGAGAGGCTTGGTCCTGAATCTGCTCCTCGACACCATCGATATCATCACCATCATCATCATCTCCACAATCACCATAGCAACCATAATCATCATCCTCGAACCAACAACAACCATGGGCAGACTGCAGCGGATTCTGCCCTAACACTGGTGAGATGCTCCTAGCGGGTAGAAGTCAGCGTGATTAACCCCCACCAATGCTCACTATCTCTTTGCCAAACTATTTGATATCTACCACTTACCCTCTTTCCAAAGTAGATCATGCTTTATATACTCAAATGTTTGTGTGAGTTAATCCATTGTTTTTTGTGTGTTTGTCTCTTTTCTTTTTTTATTCCTTTACAAAAATCTTGTCCGATCCCCTCTCAATCACGAAACTGCTGATTTTTTCCAAAACACAAAATTACCCCTCTCTCAAAAAAAACAACAACTTTGAAATGCACGTCTGCTGCCACAAAAATCAACTCCCAAAATGAATATTCATTTGCGGCTTGTGACCTGATTCTCGTGACCTCAGGGTCAGGGGAGTTAGACATCACATCGAGTCCCGCCACAGCAGGATCCAATAACCATCCAGGGATCCCACCGGGTCATGGGGCAAAGTCGTCCCCCACGGGGGCAGTCGCGCCCCCTTCCTCCTCCCATCACATCCGACACCACTCTGAGTCGGAGATAAACCTAGTGTCGTCCCCTAAGAAAATTGTGCACTTTGGGCGTGGTGAGGCGGGGCACTCCCTGGAGGAGGATGACAGACAGATCAAAGATTCAGGCATCGACACGTGCAGCAGCACCACGCTTAACGAGGAGCATAACCTAGGTGCCAAGGTCAGACGTCAGTTATAACAAAACAAAAATTAAACAAGTCATGTCAAAAGGTCGTTGCTTCATTATGAATCATGCATGCAAGCACGCTCAATTGTTTGTATTGCACCACCTATTCACAGCCATGTTATGCTTGTGTCATACATGTTGCCAGCACGGTAATCATTTGCATGATAAATAGCTATTATTCCAATTTTTATCATTTTTATATCTAAAGGCACCCTCCATTAAATCGACCAACCACAAACATGTTTATCTTTCATTAGCTTATACTAAAAGATATTGGTCAATTTAACAAGTTTAAAATATAGCCACAAAGTATCTGCATTTTGAATCAAACATATGCAGTGGAAGAAATTGTTTATTTAAAAAATATATATTTAGTGTCATATTTTATGCCAGCAAGGGCAGTTTGCCGAAATAGGGATCACCTTTTTTGCACCTTTAAAGAATTGTTCAACTTTTCTTGCATTTTGGATATGCACAGATTGATGCAAAATCTTTGTCTTTTCCAATTTCATCTTTTCCAGTAATCTTGACAAATAAATTTGCTTGAATTTGAAAAAAGATTAATACTATTTTGCATACAAAAGAATACACATAGTACTTAAATTTTGATGATGAAATAACCACAATTTTGTCATTATCACTGAATGCACTAATGCATGACGGAGGATTTCTCACAAGATGAAATATTGCATCATAAAATATAACATTTCCAACCAGTATCTTCTGGAACTTAATAAGGAGGAATAAGTGCTTTCCTATATATTTTGTTACTAAGTCTTGCTTGCATGTGCCTCATTCAAGAAAAAAAAATCAAGCTTTCATGTTATATAAAGAGATAAAAATCATATATCAGCTTTTTATGTATGGCTGCCTTTTCTTACGTTCATTGAAGCATGACATTTGACCTCTGACCTGTGGCACTAGGTCAGATCTTGCTGTGGTGTCGTCAAGCTGATGATTTCAAACCTGAGTTTAAAATTTCAAAAAGTTTTTAGCGATTTCAATACTTTTATTCCCGATTTTGTCCATTTCTGCCTCAAATTTTACTTTTTGTTGAAGTTTTGTTTTGACATGAGTTATTTATGATGTGTTCTATCTCTGTTTTGTTGTTTTGAGTGCTGAAGTATCGTATTTAGATAGATTTTCAACCTTTTCTGACCTCTCAATTTAACAAAAATACACACCATATAGTAGAATCACCTTTTTCTAGTTGCTATCTGTCCACCTCCGCATTTGTCATCAGTATAAAAGATAGCTCAATCTTTTGTAATTGTCCTTTTTTTACACTTTGTAACCTTTTGACGGAAAGGCATGGATGGATATTTAGAAAATAGGTCATTTAGGTTTTTAGATTAATCTCACTATAATACAAAAATAAAAAAGAAATATAGAATCCCATCGGTTCCACCCACCTAGTATGGGCTTCAATGTCTTGTCAATTAATAATTGTGGATTTAAACATAAAGCAGTACATCCAATCCTAAGCCTCTAAAGCAGTTTGCAATTGTCTTTTTTTCGCTTTGTAACCTTTTAATGCAAAGGCATGGATGGATATTTAGAAAATAGGTAATTTAGGTTTATAGATTAATCTCACTATAATACAAAAATAAAAGTAAAATATAGAATCTCATCAGTTCCACCCACCTAATCTTGGCTTCAATGTCCTGTCAATTAATAATTGTGGATTTAAACATATAGCAGTAGATCCAATCGTAAGCCTCTAAAGAAGTTTGCGGATAATATTATCTTATAATGAGTGCCTACGCCCTTTCAATAGTCTCTTTTCTCTTCCACATCTCAATTCTTTTCCCCTGTTATTCTTTTTATACTGTATCTATCATGCAACATCCTATTTTTCCATCTCTTTTCCCTCTTTGTAAACCTCTTTGTGTGATCTCCTATATTTTATTTTGAGATGTCACGCTACTCTTTATTGTCATAATGATCTTTTACTTGTCCAGCTTATTTCATTTCCTTTTTCTTGATTTTGTATTCTTGTAGTAAGTTTCTAAATAAAATACAGCAAATATGTAAAAATTTACTTTATTTCTTAAACCCCATTTCTCTGCCACTTTGTTAGTGCCCTTAGGTTCATCTCTCTATTCTGCCCTCTCCCAGTCTTTGCCCCCCCCCCCTTCTCTCTCCATATCTCTCTATTTTTCTTATAGTTTTCTTTCATTAAAAAAGATCTTGAACTACTAAAAACATTTACTATTTCATCTTAGAATTCATGAAGTTTATGACTTTTATTTTCAAACATTCATTATGTGTGTTAATCCACCTTATCCAAAATTAATTTGAGAAGCATTCTCATTAACCCATACTCATCCAAGATATAAGATTACTTTGATCACATCTCTAAGTCAATATCATAGCTTCAATTTCAAGGTTCACTGATCCCATCAAAACGATTTGTCATTAGGAATTTTTTATTTAGATAATCATTATGAATCCCGCTTTACCACTTGACTGCCAGGAAAACTACCCAAAATGTTAGATACTAATGAAATGTAAATTAAGAATCACCTTCCCAAATTAGGATTTTCTTCTTATCAGGAAAACTACCCAAAATTTTATAGATACAAATTAAATGTAAATAAAAAGAATCTTCTTCCTAATTTAAATTTTCTTCATATTTTGGCCAACCAACCACTTGTAGGCTATGAAAGCAAATGGACTTGATGTGCTCCGCCAATCGTTACTTGATGAAGAAAGCTTGGTAATTGATTTCAAACATTTTTACCCCTTTGTAAATCTCTCTAACAAGTGGCCTGTTACTCAGTGAATGGACTAAATTCCTTTATATTTAACCAGCTTGTAAAAGCAGTGTGAGAATACACAAATTGAAAACCATGAAAAAGTAAGGATATGTTAGCAGGTAAGTTCCAATGTCAGTGAATATGTGTAATAATACATTTGATCAAGATATATACTTTTATAAGAAGTTATATGTTTTACCAGCCCCTTTAACTATAAAATTTTATAAGAAGTTGTATGTTTTACCAGCCCCTCTATCTATATATAGTCACCAAAACTATGTAATCATTATGATTTTAGGAAACAAGTTTATAAGTCAAGAACTCAAATCTCTCTAGATTTATTGAATGTGAATTTTAAAAAAGCATTTGAATCAAGATTTTGTAGCAGTCATTTGATGGAAAGTTTCACACACTCATCTGTAACACCTCTCTACCTCATTGGTATTGTCTTAATCCTGTGTGAGATTGTTTCATTCCATCATTAGCTATAAACCCATCCCATCTGAATGTTAAGAACATGGTGCAAACATTCAAACAAAATGTAATATCTTTTGTAGCATATTGATTTTGGAAGTCATGATGTCTAACTAATACAAAAGGCTGTTGTTTTTTGGATTATTTTGAAAAAGAAAGTTATGTGCTTTGACTATTGATACATTTTGGGATGTTTGCAACCATGTTCTGTTGTTGTTGTTGTTAAAATAAAATGAAAATAGAATGAAAATTTGTGTCCATATTGCTCCTATCTCTGTTTCATACATGTATGTCTTGAACAATCATTTTGTTATTGTAAAGTGTGCTTTCATTTCATGGCTAAGTGCATTTATTACTTTGGTAGTATGTTGTTTGATGTGCAGAATATCATTGATTTTCTTTATTTGAAATTTAAGATGAACTGCACTAGAATAATTCAGACTTTCAGTTTTGTGGAGAAGAGCATTAATTCTATATCAAATGATATCAGATTACATGCTTCTGTCTCCAAACAGTCTATACCTTCATTTAATAAAAGAAATGTAAACAGAAAAGATCTTTAAAGAAGTAATGATTCTATAAAAGATACGCTCCTTGAGTATTCTGCATAAGTTTGAAATGATAAGTTAACAAGTAATAACATATTTTAAAACAGTCGTGTTCCCTTTAACCATTAGTACTTTATGTTTTAACTTCTTTTAATTTAAGGTGATAGAACAGTATGCAACTTACATATATATACCAATCAAAACTCACTTATTCATTTTCTTGTGGAATTGCCAGATTTTTGTGTTTCAATTTCAAATATAATTCTGATTTGAATCAATTTATGCATGTATATGTTCCTAAATGTTTTCTTTGTGAACAATATAACTACCAAATTTTGTATCATTACTAACTATTCTAGTAATTAAATTTGTTACAAGCTGGAACAGAATATTTTGCAAACATTACTGTAGACTACAGTGTAATATTTGCGCATGCTAACAATCCTCTAAACAATGTAACCTGTATGATTTACAGTACCCTGTGAATTGGCAACCTGACATGGATAACAACGTCCTCATTGGTCAGATGGTTCTAAGAAAGAACCAATCAGAAGCTTGTACACATCAAGACTCCAGTGCCATTCTAGGGTTAAAGGTCATTGGTGGGAAGATGAAGGAGGCGGGGCGACTGGGGGCGTTTATCTCCAAGGTTAAACGAGGTAGCATAGCTGACACCGTGGGTCATCTAAGGGCAGGTCAGTTTAGTTTACAATTTTATTAAAAATGTTATCTTGTATTTTCAATGAGCTAATGATCTTTTTTAGTATTACCATCTTTATAGAATTTACCATAAACGTTTTTATGAGGCATTTTTTCAAACATTATTTTTTTTTGTATTTGAGGCAGCAGAAAGTCATAATTTCTGTAACTGAATGATGATCCAACAACTTTGTAATTTTGTTTGTTGTATTTCCCATTTTATTGTCTTATCCATATTTCTAAGAAATATTTAATTCCTTTTTTTTTACTTTGCACGTTTTATTAAAGATTTTCAGATCATTTATTGTAGCCATGGTCTTATATGTCTGCTGAAAATGTGTCAGGAACAAATGACTGGGGTAGGGGGGATTTTGTTCTTGATTCACATATTCTTGCATGGTATCTAATTTTGAAATTCATGATCCTTTTTAATTCATAAAAGTAAGACAAGCATTTCTTTCAGCACAGAAACTGAACACAACACCAGGACATCGGTGTTTTAAATGAACAGTATTGAAATGTCTGAGTGATTTTGGAAGATGCCACCCCAAGTATGTATCTCTGACATTCAGAAACGTTCGATTTGTCATATTTATGTATTTTGTTGTTGTTGTTGCTTACCAGGTGATGAAGTTCTCTCATGGAACGGTCACAATCTTCAAGGCAAGGATCTTAACGAGGTCTACAACATCATCTTTGAATCTAAGAGCGAACCTCAGGTTGAGCTTGTGGTTGCAAGACCAATGGGGTAAGATTGTCAAGTTGTAGCTTAGTCCCTTACTTACTTGCCATGGGCTGCAAATCAAGCTCAGAGAATTAATTTGAGTGTCAACCATTCTTCCTGACAGTGTAACGGATACTATAGTTGGAGTATATTTCAGTGTGATACATTTTTATATACCCAAATTAATCATGACGCAAGCTATTACACGTTGGAACTTATCTCCTAAAATCAAATTATTGTGAACTGTTAAAAAACGTGGCAGTTCTCAAGGGATAGATATTACTTTTTCTCCTTTATATTACTACTATCAACTTCTAATGTCTTTCATATTTTCGGTATAATATATCAAGGGTGATGCTACTTATGCTCCGGTGGCACTTGCTCCATGCTTTATAACGTCAAAGATAAAAGAATTATTAGGGTTAGGGTTGTAAATGGTTTTTTTAGGTTAGGTGTATAGGTTTTGGGTTTAGGTTAGAATTGGGTACACCTGTAACATTGGGATCTAGGTTTGAGGTTAGGACTTTAGTTAGTACAGGAAAATCCACCATAGAGCTGTGAATGCCTAGGCTTGTGTCGCAGAATCGTTTTAAGGAGACTTTATATAAAAAGTTAATGCCAGGCAAAATCAAAACATCTTTACTATTAAGAGGATTGATTAACAAAAACTGGATGTTCCCTCTCTGAAGTATATGATCTGTGAATACAGCATGAGATAACTTGGGCCGGGTGTTATGGAAAATATGTGTTTACTGCAATAAAATCATATTCAAGGGTTTAAGTTTTGCTGCCAGTGTTTCATCTGCTGAGAAGCAGGGGGCGTTAACTTCTATCACACATAGAGAGCCTCAAGGCATTAATTCCCTGTAAAAGCGTATGAGTTAATGCCCTTTTGCCTCTCTGCAGTTGATATAACAGAGTTAACATCCTTCTTATAATACTGAGACTGAGCCTTTTAACTTTAAAATTACATCTTATGTGAGATCCCTAATGCCACATTTAGATTTCTTAAAAGGCAGTTATAGCTAAAGCTTCACAATGGTTTTGAGATTCCTTACATGATTCTAGAAATACATAATGATGGTTATATGATAGTTTTATGGCTAATTGAGACTATATGTGGCCATGGGGATCTTTTAAAATGCACTCTGCCAGCCTAGAAATAATCCATTTCCGCTTCAATCCGATCGGAAGTAGGATACCTTGGTCTCGACAATGGTTTTAAAACATTGGTATTCCCTACGATGTATGATAATATTCCTGCAAATTCACACACTTAGGACAGCATCTGAAGAAATTGTAGACATATTCTAAAGTTTATTGACTTTTTGTTCTGACTTTAATTTTCCTGCAGAAGTGAGATACCTCCTTCTTCCAGGGACAAAATAGCGCAGTTCCAGTCGCCGAGACCAGACTCTATCATGAAGAGAAGCAGTCAAAGTGAGTTACAATGTGAGCCAAGAAACAAACTACTATCATCACAATTATAATATAAGAAAAATGCACTGCGTGTAACCATATTTTTGGTATTGATGGGGAAATAATTGCAGAGTCACAAGAAACTCACACTAATTCCAGAAATTATAAGCAAATGTTTGACAACTGATTTGGTAGAATTTAAAAAATGCACTGTAACTATATTTTTGGTAATGATGGGGAAATAATAGCAGAGTCAAAAGAAACTCACACTAGTTCCAGAAATTTTAAGCAAATGTCTGACAACTGATTTGGTATACAATATCTAATGGTTAAGGGAGAAGCAAAGAATAATTCAGGAAACTTAGCTAGCAGGCCTGTGTACAACATGTGGCCGCACTGGTAAATGTGAGTTGGGTTTTGTTTCAGTGAATGTGATTTTTTAGCAACTTTTGGTACCTTGTTAACACCTAGTAGGTCAAAAAAATCCATCTTTTGCATAAGAAGTAACTCATACTTACATGTAGCCTTAAGCCATTTTCTTTTTAGGTTCAGGTCTTTTTCAAGATTAAGATAATTTTGAGTAAGGATGTGTGAAGTTTTCTACATGCTTTACAGTCTTCAAAAATTCATCAAGGTATTAAGAGACATTTGATCATGAAATAACAACATTTATGCTTTTCAGGTTCGAGTGGGTATGAATCCAACAAACCGAAGGAAGAGGAGGAGCCTATGCCGATCGTTAGTAGGGTAAAGCGGCCCTCAGTGACCATCACTAGCCCAGGAAGCCCTGGTCTGCCGAGAAGAAACACATCCCCTACTGCCTTGGGTGAAATTCAGGTAAAGCACCATTCATATTTTTAAACAATTTCTAAATAACTTCTCCTTTATAGCCTGTAACATGAAGTGTGGGTATTATCAAAATCTAAACATTCTACTTCTGGATGCATCATATTATCTGTGTATCCATATCTGTATTCTATGCAATTCAAATTTTTGACAACTACACATGCATTGGTAGCAATACTATTTCATTCCTACAGTGTAACCTTCACCTAAAAAATTGATTTGTGTACAGCTAGTATGCATAAAATCAATGTCAAACACTTTATATGATATTTTATGGCTAAAACAAATATGGGGTATATAGAAGAAGAAACAAAACCTCACATGTGGCATTAATATTAATTGAGACTTTAATTAAACTTGCAGTATCTCTTTATAGAAGTGTTATTTGAAGCTCATATTTGAATAGAGTATAGCCCATGGAACCCCCAAGGAACCCCCAAGATACAGAACAAAATATTCCTTGGTGAATTAGTATGCTATAACAATTGTAATAACTAGTTATAGTAACAGTAAAGACAAGTTTTGTCATTTCGAAGATGTGGGTACATATCCCACCGGTGCCATCTGACAGTAAGGATGACCCTTCAATCACTGTAGTCGTACAGCTACCTGACCATTTGTTAAGGGTATAGTTGTGCACAAGATGTAGTGCTGAGAGGGGCAAACAATAACAGACATTAAACATAAACGTGCCTCAAGAGGGCAGCAACACAATGAGAAAAGAGGTAAAACAGTCTGGAGAATACATGCATAAATGCTGTTGCTGACTCTCCAGGATATACAACATTTACCACCCTTTGCATAGCAGGGTTTAAATCTGCCTTGTCATTTCTGATGAATAATAATGATAAAGCTGCATTTATAATGAGCATGTAGCTATCCCAGAGGATGCTTAAGGGGCCTATACCGCGTATTATTATTACTCCGGGATATATGTGTATTAGAATTGACATGTAAATATTTTAATGCTTTTTCTGTATGTTCACCTTTTTGTCTTCAGATCAAACTTTGGTACGAAAGCAATAATTACCTGATCAACATGACAGTCTTGACAATGCATGGGGCTCAGCCAAGAGACACAGGGGATCTACGCAATCCCTATGTTAAGGTCTTCCTACTACCAGATAGAACGTAAGAAGATACATTTCACAAGAAGAATGATTGATGTGTTGAATGTGTAAGACTTGATATTACATGAACAACTAGACTTATAGTCTACTTCAGATTGAAAGAAATAAAAGATGTTTAATGGAAATATATTGTTTGTGTTGAGTGCACAAGACATGATACTGCAGGTACCATTTGTCATAACTTTCTCTAAGGGCTTTGTTATATCAAGAAAGAGACAAGTATGTACCCAGTCACAGCATCAAAAGAGAAAAACACCACAACTGTTGGTTGTTAAAATACATCTGGGGATGTTTTATGACAAAAACCATTGGCGTATGATAGCCACAAGATGGCGCTCTACCTTCCTAGCAATGAAGTAAAACAAATTATGTAAATGATACAAAACCTAAATACATATATGCTTCTGGTGTAATATTCATTTATATTTGTATTTATATACAAATCAAATATTAAGTTGATGTGGCAGCACTACTATTATCCACTGACTCCACATCTTCTGTAGATGTAATTTCATTTTTTATTTTTTATATTTTTTCTTCTTCAGTGAGGAGACGAGGCGACGGACCAAGACCATTCAGAACACACTCAGCCCCAAGTGGAACCAAACCTTCACCTTTGGCCCCATCAAGAGGGCAGATTTCAGGGGTCGTGACCTGGATGTCACCGTCTGGGATTTTGAACAATACGGTGCTAAAGAATTCCTGGGACAAGTAAGCATCATTTACTTTTATGAAAGAATAGCATGAATGGAACAAGTGATTTAAAGGGACTTGGTAACATTATTCAGATGAGAGAAAATGGTGTCAAGGTAGTGACTTCAATGCTAGATGTACAATTAAAGATAATCTGAAAGTTTGAGTGGAAACAGACCATTATCAATCATACAAATTTGGAAAAACTGATCTGAACAATTCCTAAATTCTATGTTATTATAATTAAATTAAATTTTAGGTGAATATAAATCATCTAAAAGCAATGAATTGGCTCTTTGAAACATTTAAAGATTTTTAAAAGCCTGTTTTATGTCTTAATATTATTTTCATGGAAAAATGGTTGGGTGAATTTACTGTTAGAGGGAGTTAAACATTGATGCCTTCAAGGAAAACTATAAATATCTTTGTAATTTGAACATTTGTAAAGGATTTTTTGCATGTTCAATAGTGGGTTAGTACAGTAGGAGGAATATAATGAGTAACATCTCATACAAAATTTAGGCATTTTTTTGTCATCAATCTTCAACAATGTTGACGGTTCACTTTAAGAAACTAAAAAGACTGAACTAACTAATCTGAATTTGAATTGTCTTTCCAGAGTATTTAGCAAATAATGATCATGAGTAGTGAGGAAAATAATGATAAGATGTACTTGATTAGATTATGGATAGGTGGGGGTAGTGCCATGTGAGTAAACATTAAGGTCCATTTTGCTTGCATGATGTAAGTCAACTTTATGAAACCAACTGTGAAAGGAAAAGTTGATTTTAATTATTCAATGTGAGCTTATAATTCATTGTCAAGGTTTAATTTCATTTGTAGAACTGGGCAGAAGCTTTGAGTAATGATTCTTTAGAATGCAAAATATTTGAGTGAAAAAAGTATTTGAGTTATAACAATTTTGAAAAATGTTTTCCCGAACACATATTCTAGGTCACATTCTTGCTCACAATACTTTGAGATGGGTACTTTTAACAAACTACAGCCTTTACGATTAAAATTGTAACATTGTCTTTCACCTTCCTAGATGATGCTTCCCCTAGAGGGAGCCCCATTTGACGGCCAGTCCCACTGGTACTCCCTCTACCCTCACGGCAGCTCACGTCACCAGCCGTCCTCACCGCCCCAACAACCTCCTCCGCCACCTCAACCCAAGAAACAACTCCCGCTCACCACGAACAACAACGGCAACCCTAGGATGCACGACATGATCGACAAGCGCGAGATGATCGGCAAGCACGAGATGATCGGCAAGCACGATATGATCGGCAAGCACGATATGATCGGCAAGCGCATGGCTCAGGAGAACGGTAACATGCGAGAGAAGCTCTCGCCGAGCTCGGTTGGTCGTATCACCGATAGCGATGTCTCAGACTTTGATGATGGATTGACAGGGCTATCAGGTATATGATGCGTGATTTGAGTGGAGTTAGTAGAGGTGCTTATAGATAATGCTTATGAACCTAATTCTAACCCCTTCTGTGTCAACTTTTTTTAACAAAAAATTGTCATAATGAACTTTCATTTATGATTGCGACTTATGACTTGTGTTGCTTTGTTTCAATGTGGCATAAAATATCTGTTTAAAGTCAGAGGGGCACTAACTCTGTTTTAAAGGGGGTGAAGCATGGCAAATACTGGTTAACGCCATCTACGACTTTTTTTGGACGAACAGCATGTAAACGAATGGACTTGATTAATAGTCAGCGCGCTAGCGTTCGGGAAACAGACCAACGTTCTCATCACCCTTCGCGTATTTTGCACGCACGTGAAGACTGCGGTCGAGTCGTCTGTGGCCCCAAGTCAGGCCACGGGAAAGACGCGTAGTCTCGTCATGCTGCACCTCCTTTAAAGAGTATGGTTGAATGCCTTTCTGGCTCCAAACAGACCTAATATCTTCCAGGGGACCAAACCTCTAATGTACCTATTTCTGTTTCTGGAAGAAGAATGTAGCCATAAATTCTCGGTTCAAACACTTCTTCAAAATTCTCTGGTGGTGTTTGCCATACGTGGCTCAGAAGGGGTTCGAAAGATCTACCTATGTATACTATATACAGCTTGCTTTAATACACTGCCACTGCAATATAAAATACTTATGCACTCTCTACATCCATGGTATGATGCGGGAATGTAGGAACAGATATACCACCGTTTTTATTTTCTAAACTCTGAACTAATTTCGACTACCCCTTCACAACTGTTAAGTCATGAGGAAACACAGGCAAAATTTTTAGGATAAAGCACTATTCTTAACTAATGCAGTTGACGTAAATCATGCAATAAGGATAATTCCTGAATCTTTGTGTGTTTGATCGGTTTTTAACAAAATATGACAATGCTTTATAGCTCCATAAAACACTTGTTTTTTATAGTTTTCTGGCGACTTTGTGTTGTAAAATGAAGGGATGTCTTTTATTGCATTCTCCTAATCTGTCCATGAATATCTATTGAATTGCTTTCATGGATGCATGCCATCTCTAAACAAAGTCACATGCTAAACTTGATTAACTTAACACCTGATCTTTAGATTTGAAATGCACTGTAGCATTATTTCTTCTGTAAGTTCCGCTCCTTCTTCAAATCTCTAATGCATTGGCAAAATGTGTTTTTTCTCTTTCGACCGTTCATGTTAACTTCTCTCTTGTAAATGAAATCTATTACCAGAAAGCCTGAACAAAGTTGTGAAAAGATTAGTTTTAGCTGATTCTCTCTGAATTTTCCAGACATTCGAATTAAGTGATGATCGGTGTTGCGAAGTATATGCGTCATCCATCTTTAAACAAAATTATTTTGGAAACTACTGAAGCTCTTGCATGAATTAATAAAATGCCTCTCCCCACCCAGAAAAAAAATAAATAAATAAATAAATAAATAAAATTATAATCTATATTCTGATGCACTAAAAACTCTTTTGTAAGTTCTTGATCTTCAGAAAAATCTCAGAAATTCCTAATATATATTTTTATAATTGCAACTTGATAGCTACTACAGATTAATATGATTGTTTAACTAAACAATATCTGGCAAGAACTTTTGTGTACATATTTGTTTTTCCTCTTTTTCTCGCTATCTGTCTCTCTTTCTCTTCTCTTTCTCCATTAACAAACTAAACTTTGACTCCTTTTAGGGGGCACTACCACTGGGGCGGGGGACGTAGCCAGTATCTCGTCCTTTGGCAGTAGCTGTAGCCCGCCCCCGGTCAGCGACCAGGACGACAGACCGTCTAGTCAAGATACTGACTTCCCACGTAGTCAAGCCCCGCACAGGCGTGCTGGCATAGGTACTAACACCCCTCCCCCTTCCTCCCCTCTCCCTAACCCCTCCTCGTCCTCCATCCCCTTTAGACCATCATGTAGCTCACACCAAAAGTGATATAATGTAGAGCCTATTTTGTGCATAGAACTAGGATTTGATTTCAAGTAATGGAGCTACCAGTAGACACCGCTTATTAGAAACATTAGCAAAATCATTGTTATTATTGTTATGTATATGTCAATAGGTTTCAAGTGGAAAGGAAAACATATCTGGCAAAATTCGATTCATATCAAACCACTAACAAAAGATATACTTAAATTTATCACAAATCTATCCAACAACAATAAAATAAATATTCGAATTTGAATGTCACGTGCTGTTAAAACCAAAAATAGAACAGAACAAAAACCTTCATGTCCATAAAATTCATGGCAAAATCTTCTTTTGTTTTGATAGGGCCTGTCACATTCAGAGCGTCTATGTTTAAAGTCAAGTGTATCATATTCTCTCTTGTTACTTTCCTCATCAGCAGGGACAGCTGTACGTTTGCCATCATATCGTTTTTATCATAAATATCAACTTTCATCACATCATCTTGCAATCATTAACATTCTTAATTTCATCAACATGAACAAATTTATAAATAGCTTCTTTTTCAGCATTGTTGTTATCTTCTCAAGTGTATAATTTTTGTTACATTATCATCAGATTTGATGATCATCATTGTCTTTTTCACCATTATCATTTTGGGTTTTCATCACATTCATCAATCTTTCATTATTTTTGTAATCAATATCCGTTTTATCAGCATCCACTTGGCAAAAGAAAGCAGAAGTAAAACAAGGAAAATTCACTTTTTTTTTCTGCAAATGAATGAAATAGGGGAAGCATGCTGATCAAATCTTTGCCAACTTCAAGTTCTCAATTGAGCAAGGAGCTCAGTTTTTCATGAGTTTTATTCCTTTGAAAGAATTCCTTCTGGTGCTCCTAAAAATTCTACACACAGATTCTTTACATGGATTATGTTAAATACAACAAATTTATTATTTCACCTGTTGAAAATGAAGGGGAATATGAACATCAACAATCACTTATCCTAATAACAAATAAAATTATTTTGTTAATTACAAAATTATCATTCTTCTTTTCATTTTTTCTCATTTTGCAGTAAACCCATTCTGTTTACAGTGTTCAATGTCACATTTGATTATTATGTGTTTTTATTTCTTTTGTTTCTTTTCCCTTATGCCATTAGCAGATACAAATCTTTCATAGCTAGCACAAACTTAAAACAGTTAATATAGCCTTGATACAGAATACATTATGTTTGCACTAAAATCATTTATCATAATATGAATTTCTTCTACAGCATGTACTATAAAAATTTTATTATATTATTGCATGTTCTTGGAATGGATAATTGCATCATTATAATCATTTAAAGGAAATTTGTTGATTTCTCTGGTTTTGACACAATACATTTTTAACTAAATAGGATATCATTTGATGCATATGAATACAAATGCATTATTTCAAACTGGAAGTATTCACATTTTCAAGATAAACAGGAATATATCCATTGCTTATAATTCTACCTGCACCTAATATTTTTGTTATATTAACATTCACGCTATCTTTTAATCATAAACAATTTTTCCCAATTGTTGACTGTCTTTCAACAGTGACACCTCCAACTCAAGAGGACCTGACACCAAACGAAGAACCAATGCCCAACAAACAAAGGCGCAACTCGCAGAGCACACTGGCCGTTCCCGAAAGGGCGTCTCGCAGGCCTCGTTCCCCATCCCCCATCAGAAAAGAGAGAGGCAGGACCAGGCATTCTGAACCAGCAATAGAATATGACAGACAGGATGGGGCACAGGACTTGCAGCAGGACCCGGATCGGGAACAGGACCGTGATCGTAATCGAGACCGAGATCGTGACCGTGATCGTGACCGTGATCGACCACTTGATAGAGACCGAGACAGGGATAGAAACCACACAAGAGACAGAGGACGAGAAAGAGAGCGTGATCGTGACCGACATCGTGATCCAGATCGTGATCTTGACCATGACCTCGATCGTGACCGAGACCGTGATATGTACTCATACAGGGGAACTGAGGTTGATAATATAAGGACTTCCCCTAATTCTATATCTTCCCGAGGTAACGATCAGCGCGAGTCCCCTCATCGCTTAGACAGGAGCTCACCCAGGAGCTCACCCCCACGCCGGGGGGAGCGCGAGCACCGCTCAAGAACACTCTCCCCTCCTAATGTGTACGAATATTCTGAACCCCGGAGATCACGGTCGCCAAGCCGCCGGTCGGTCGAAGGCTCGCAGTCGGACTCGAACCAGCGACGTAGCAGGTCCGAGGTCCGAGGGGAGATGGAGTACGACAGACAGTATAGAGGGCGCAACATGCTTCCTCCACCTACGTCGGGTTTAGATTCCTCAAGCTTACCAAACTCTCCAATCCATGGGGGACGTAACAGCCCCTCTTCCACCCCTTCTACGCCACGCAAGCAACAGCGAAGGCTACCCCAGATACCCCCTTCATCAAAAGCTGATAAAGGTAATCAAAAATTCCATGCAAAGATTTTATATTCAGTGGTAGCTAGGGTTGGGTGTCCATTGCTTTTACTAACCTCAACTGTAGAGGACTGGAATAATTATGTCATAATCTTGTGACTAGTAGTTTCCCTTCATGGGATGAATATAAATTATCTCAAAAATGTTCTTCCACAAGATTAATTGATGTTGGGGAAATTGATTCATGGACTAGAATCATCATCTAGAGTTAGCTAATAATAATAATAATAATACTGAACATTTATAATGCGCCATGTCTTTTTCCCCAATAATCTTTTAAGGTGTTTGAAGCAAAGGGGTTGTGGGTTGTATAAGACCCAGAGTCTGATCTTGTGTACTTGGAGAAGTTGGCTTTTCTCCAAAAAGCCCTTAGGGATAGGAATGCTCATAAAGGATTATTCCAAGTAATCTGATGTAATTCAATCAGCTCTTCTTGGTGTTTGACCTGTGAGTTTCTGCACTTGACTTCCATTTTTGTGTTTTTATTCTAATCTTGTTGAAGCCCCATCCCTCCCTCCCTCCCTCCCTCCCTCCCTCCCTCCCTCCCTCCCTCCCTCCCTCCCTCCCTCCTCCGCCTCCTCCTCCTCCTCCTCCTTCTCCTCCTAGCTCCTCCTCCTCCTAGCTCCTCGCTCCTCCTCCTCCTCTTAGATTTTCCGGTTGTAATTCTTCTCATCAAATGTGAGGTCTGCCCTCTTTCTTTGTGTCTTTCTTTTCCTCTTTCTCTCTTTTTTCTATTTCTTTCTCCTTAAAGCCCCACTGCACTAGTTTGGCCAGGAGGGATTAGACCTCCCTGCCAAGTCGCTGACAGGTGGCTATCTCATCAAATCAGCTCTTAATTAACATAAGAAAAAGGGGATCATGGGGAACCAATGGTCACCGATTAGGCATCGTTTGCTATATAGAGGGCGCAAGTAGCTATAAGTAGTGCAGTGGGGCTTTAAACTTCATCTTCTATCTTCTCTTCCTATGTTCTCTTTCCCTCCTGTTTCTCTTCTTTTTCTCGCGATCTGAATTATTCTATGGCGTCTATCCATCTCCTTTCTTTTCTATCCCTCCCCTGTCTCTATCACTTCTCCCTCTCTCTATCACTTCTTCCCTCTCTCTATCACTTCTCCTTTCTCTCTCTCTCTCTCTTTCTCTTTCTCATAACCTTTCTACATGTATAATGGTTTGTCTCTCTTCTCTATCTCTCTCTCTCTCTCTCTTTCTCTCTCTCTCCCTCTCTCTCTCTCTCTCTCCCTCTCTCTCTTCCTCTCTCTTTCTCTCTCCCTTGTTTATTATTCATCTGTAATGCATTCTTATCCTCGCTAATCTTTTGCTTTTAATCTCCATGAGCTCTTCCGGGTACCCTAATTCGTTAATATAGGGGTCAATTTCTTTGTAAACACATGTCGGCCAAATGTTAAGATTGGCACGTTATTGAATTACTATCCAACGGAAATCTAATAAAGCGCTTCATTAGGAACCTGCAATGATATTGCACTAACCCCTCTCTCTCTCTTTGATTATCTAATTTACAAGATTTTTGACTTCAAAATTCCTTGTACGATGAATGAATAATCTAATTCTCTGAAATGCATGGTCTGTGCTTTTCGAAGTGAAGTATATTATACAACACTGAATAGGGTCAATCAAGGGATGGATTACTACTACAACTGAATAAGTGTTGTGGAAAATAAATTATAAGAGGTATTCGGATATAGAAAGTTTTAATAATATCCAAAAACATATCCTCTTTATAAACAATATAAAACTGCACTGTTTGCTTTTAATTTGGTCAAATGTTGGGGAAGATTTCCATCATAGAAGAATAAATATTAACATCATTTTATTCAACATATTATATTGAATTAAAGTTTGGGCACCTCCACTAGACATTTCCCTCATCTTGTAATTTTCCAGCGGCCTCTCTGCCAGTCAGTAACCCATTGACTACTGTATTATCACATTGGCCATAAGTTTAATACAAGAACAACCCAGTTCGAGTAGGCAATTGGTTAATAGCCCCTGACCACTGAATCCATCTACATGTATTATCCACGTAAGAGCATATACTTCAACTTCCATGTATTTATGTATCTGGATGATGAGGAAGTTTGAGGCAAAGGGCATGTTCATTTATGACTCAGTATAAATATGTACATGTTATGTGTGGTCATATTACTCTTCCGAGTTCCGGTTTGGTTGGTTTCTGCTTCCCAAGAGATGATCAAGGGGTATACGATGAGCTGTGACATATATGACTACACTGCCTCTTGAAGTTCAGAACTCCATTGATACCTTTACTAGTGTTGTGCATGCACTGACCTAAGATGGAAGCCGGTCTTTCAGAATCTTCTTTAAGACATCCGAGTTGCCTCGCTGCTCTGTCATTTGTTAAAGGTATATTGTTGATATTCCTGGCAGGGGCAGATCTAGCATAGGGTCATGGGTTGAGGACCCCTTTATTGTCAGCAATTTTATTTTAGTGTCAAGCCCCGAGAATCAACAACTTCTTTTATATAAGCTTGTCAGGAGTTCTAGATAATTGGAACCCCCCTTGTGTTCATGTATAGCATTGATGGCTTCAAAATCTGGTTATTAGACCTTCTTTTATGTTCATTAATTCATGAATTTGACAGCAATGTCTGTATTGGTATGTTCACAGTCTGTGGAGATGAATTTCTTCATGAGTAATACTTTGACTGTTGATGATTCTCATCTAGGCACTGCTGACATCGAAGAGCGAGCTAGGCAGATCAAGCTGAAGATGACCCAATACAAGCAAGCTGCCTCCGCCAACACCCTCTCCCCTCACGGAGGAAGTGGGGGTATTGGTGGTAGCGGCGGCGGTGGTGGAAGCCTAGAGAGGGGGTCTCACATGGGGTCACCGGGCCACGACATGACCAACCCTTTCCAGCATTCCTCACACCGACGTAAGCAGAGCCCAGACAACATTAGCATCAAGTCCTCAGACAGCAACTTGTCGAGTACCAGCGACGTTTCGGCCGTAACAGCTGCGAGTACGGCGAGTGCCTTCTCAACGCAATCGGAGCGCCCCCGGCCCACCAGAAAGTTCAGGTAGGCCACCTTTGCTTTTATGACCTTTAACCTCTGGTGTGTTTGTTAAGAGAAAGCCCTCATCCTAATACACAAAATCTCAACATCTGAAGTCTCAGCTCCAAAGTTTTGTCTAGTGAACTTAGTTTTTTGTTGTCTTATCTAAGTTGATTTGTTGTGATTTCGCTATCTTGGATGAGAGTGGGAGTGAGAAATAGGGGGAAATATGAGAAGCAAAAAGGGAAAAGCAACTAAGGATTACTAAACGTTCATTAAGAGCCAGAAGGGCATTAACTCTGTTAATTAATGTTAGCAGAGATTTAATGGCTTCATAGCTATCAGTCTTCTTAGAGACCAATGGATGATATGGACAAATAGTGAAGAGAGTGCTTATCAAAAGCAAGTTGAATTGACTAAGAAGAAGAAGAGAAAGATATAAATTCTGTGATATGAGGAGATAAAGAATGGGAGAGAATAGGAAAGAGAGGTGAAGAAATGGAGAAAAAAAGAGAGGAGAGAAGAAGGGGCTGTGCAAGAGAATTAGAGAGAGAAGAAAATTAATTTTCCTGCTGCTTTATCTTTTGTTTGTGGGTGCAGTAATGCCCTGTCTACTTGGAAATCCTTTGAAGTATGAAGCATGTGATACCTAATGACAGGTTCAATATCCTAATTGTCTTCTGGGTAGAAACCCTCTGTCAACATATTACAAATAGAGAGAAGCGCTGGTCATTCAACCTCACTGCTAGCATGATAACATGGGATTTTGCTATGCTGAGTTCCTTGCAGTGATTATTTCTTGGTAGTTTCATATCTTCTGTAGATAGTGGTGAGGTCATGAGTATAAAGGTTAAAGGTTACAAGTGAAAGGTTAAAGATTAAAGACGAACAGAAAACAGAATACAGGTTTGCCAGTGACTTGGAGTTGTGATATTTTTTTGGAACTGTGTACACTACAGTGAGCATACAGTACTTGTACATTTGGAAGATGGGAACCAGAATACTCGACACTGCTTGTACTATTCATTTCCAAATGTATTACATGTGTGTTGTGATGCAGGTCGTGAGATAAATGTCCAGTAAATTGAACCTCATTTCTGGCTATTCATGTTTTTTGTCTGACTATTGTATAATGTTCCAGTATTGTTTGTTTCAGACTCATTTGTACCACATATTTTTGTATTTTGGTCCAAGTCTTGTCTAATTCTCCTTTTTGTTTGTCTTGTTTTGTTTCCCCCAATATCTTTCTTCCAATTATATGCTTTCATTCCACCCTGCTTTTCACATTCCTTCTGTATCAACATTGTAATTGAAACTATCAAAATGCCTATCATCAAACATATCAATAATCTCATCAATTGCTCTTTGCTTTCTTGAATTTGTTGTGGATTCATTCACTTTCTGCCCCTGCTTTTATTTGCTTCTTCTCTTGTTCATCCTAAAATCATATGTACTCCATTATATCCTTATATTAATCATGTTGGTGCTTATCAAATGTCATCTTTCCTCTCTAAAATTATATGTATTTTTCTCTGATCTTCTACTGAATGTATTGTCAAATGTGCTTATTCAATGATACTGTATCGTACCTTACACTATGCTTCTTCCCAAAACTATATACTCCCAATTCATATCCTATGTTTCATTGCCTCATTTATCATATCATAATCATGGTAAAGATTATTATCATCACATGCAAATAGTACACCTTCACTTAATTCACTGGGTAGAAATCGCAGTTCTAAAAATACACACTCCAAATCGCGTAAAAAGCGTAGTTTATCAGAAGGTCAGGTCAAGAGGTCTCCGAGGAGCGGAGAACGGGGACTCTTTGTTCGTCTGATGCGCAGGAAACTTGGCAGACACCAAGAGGAGACGTTAGAAGAGGTCAGCGGCCAGACCAAGGGTCATGTCAAGGATCAGAGGTCAGAGAAGGGTCAGGCCAAAGGTCAGAGGGCAGAACTAGTCACCAGGGTTGACATTGAGCGTATCCAGAAGTCAGAGCCCAGAATGGTTGCCATTCAGATGCTGTACTATTCAGATGGTTCTGATAACGAGGAGGAGTACATCTAAAGTCCAAAAAGCAAAGAAAAATAATCTGCAATCGAATTTCCGGACCCACTAAAAGGTCACTGATGTCGATAAGGACTCATTCTCTGATGCTGTGCTATTGATACATTCTTTACAAATGAGAATGAGTACAAGCTTTGCCCAGCTGGCAAACCAGATTATGCACACTTTTTATGACTATAGTATGACTGGCAGAGTAGCTTAAAAGTGTTGAAAAAGGCCTTGTCAAGCAGGCTGATTACAGAGTATTAGCCATTCAGGTGATCTGCTGTTCAGATATCCTCTGACAATGAGAATCAATATGATCTAGTAACCATGCATGTTGAGCCAGTTAGAGGTTCGGAGTGGTATTCTAAAAACTATATTAATTTTAGTTAGTACAAAAATATGTTAATTGTCATAACAAATAAAAACTAGGAATTTAGATAGGCATCTTAGCAAGCACCAATAATGAGTGTTTATTGTTGAATTTAATATGAAAATATACTTTTTTCTAACATAAAGGTTAACATAGTTTTCAGAATACTTACTCTGAGGGATTGGGAATCACCACTTCAAGGGCATACTCCTGGAATTACATAAAAATGATTTGTTTTCTTCTAAGGTCATGTCTTTGACCTGATTAAATGATATAAAAAGACAAAGGTTAGCAAACAATGAATATAGAATTTTTTTTAGAATAGCAAACCTTCATGAACATGTAATCAAATTGTGCTAGCTGTAATAGAATTACATTTTAGGGAAAATTAGATAAGCAGAGTATTAGGTGGCAAATATGAAAATTATTATCAAAAACTACATTGTCATTTATTTTGATTTTCCAGAGGATTTAGTTTTAATATTCCTCCGGCTGTGTATTCATAGGTTGAGTAGAATAGACAAAAAAAACCCTCTTATTTGATAGATAGACATGCCCTCTTTCTTCATTGGGTGTATTGTTTCAGTGCTTTTGTCTTATTATAAATCGAATAAAATCTGTGTATGGATATATGAGGTAGATTATTGACTAATGCTTTTGAAACATTTGTTTTTATTTCTTTAGTCAGTATTTATAGTTTACCTGTATTGAATTAGTGTATGTATTCATATCAATAAAGTTCAATGGTTTATGTTTGATTAAATGAAATCAAATGAACAAATCAAATCAGAAATATATTGATTGCCTTATGACTTTATTCAATTAAAAACAAAACTTTTGTTAAAATACATGTGATGAATAATCTGATATCAAATACCTAGGAGGTTATTTTCAGTCATTTCATAACAATTACATAAGTCTTTCAGAAGCATGGGTTGTTGGAATAGTCTATTTGGATGTCTCAAGTCTTTTATTACCTGATTAAAAAGATTCTTTTCAATCTAAAGCCTTTCATTTTGAATGAAAAGACGTATTTGGCATAAAAAGAAGGCTAAAGCTAAAAAAAAATTGCGGAAATGAATTGTTTATTCCATAAACTGTACCTTAATTGTACAGCTCTCCTTGCAATATTTCCATCGTAAGTTCTGAAACTCCTTTAATGTCATTTAGTTTATACTCAAACTGCCTTCTAATGAATTAAATTCTGAGAAAATTCCTCACAGCTCAATACTAATGATAGATCTGGGTCAAGTCACATGTTTTGACATGTGTTGATGCTTCTGTTGTTTTGACTTAAACAGGGCGTATCCTTCAATTATTAATATGTACGCCAAATGTATGCCTTTTAATAGTTAAATTCTGAGAAAATTCCTTGATGATCAATACTATTAAGGTTAAAATCTAAAAATATTTTAAATTTGACGTTGTAGATCTAGGTCAAGTCACATGTTTTTTAACATGTGTTGTCGTTTCTGTTGTTTGACTTTAACTGTGCATATCATTCAATTGTTAACATGTACACCAAATTGTGCTTTAACTGAACATGCTTTCTCAAGGTAAATAATTTTATTTGAAACATATATGCCTATTAAAGAAAGTACTGCAAAATCTTACTTATCACATGATCCTGTATAAGCCTCAGTCCTACTACCAACAGACTGAAGATCGACTGCAGAGGTGCCAACCAGTACGATTTAATCGTATTTAGTACAATAATAAGAGTGGAATACGATAATACGATATCACCTTTTAAAATACGATTTTTCACCCCCCAAAAAAAACAAAAAAAAACAAACAAACAAACAAACAAACAAAAAAACACAGAATCGTATAGAATCATGTACAAGAAAACCCCCACAACCCCAACAAAAACTTTGATTTTACAATTTTCTTTTAAAATTTTAAGGAATTAGAGCAAACATTTCAATTGACCGTACATACCAGTATCACATTTTTCTGAAATTTTACTGGCCCGGCCCACATGTACAATTGAATATGTTTTAAAAAAACGAATTACAGCAAAAATATGGTCTTTACGGTATGCATTTGCGCTGCGTTACGACATCAATAGGTTTTTAATAGGTGAAAGGAAGGCCGGTTGAAAAATACTTATTTTGATGGTAAAATACTAATTTTGGAGGTGCTGAGTACTAATTTGTACTTCCAAAGGTTAGCAGCTCTGCGACTGTTTTTTGCCATGGGGGAAATGTACTAGTTTGTTTGGTCTGTTGTCGGTCTGGTGTCGGTCTCATTGATTTGACCGCCGTATTACTGGAGATAGTGTCTATCCCTTTGCTTAATTTAATACAATGATAAAATTTGAGATCAAAGCTATATGTGACATAAAAATTAGTATGGAAGTAAGATACATAACTGCTTATTTTGTATATCTACAAATAAATAGATATTACTGGCATTTATTTACTAACAAAAGATTTGGGTGATTGGTTCACTTTATTACACTGTAGCAAGCACCATTCTACAATGAAAACTATACAACTAACCTATTTAGATAAGACACTCAAATATTGTGGAATTGACACCATACTCCATACCATGTCTCACTTCAGTGGTATTTAAAGGTTGAATCCCAATA